AGGAAGGAAGGAAGGAAGGAAGGAAGGAAGGAAGGAAGGAAGGAAGGAAGGAAGGAAGGAAGGAAGGAAGGAAGGAAGGAAGGAAGGAAGGAAGGAAGGAAGGAAGGAAGGAAGGAAGGAAGGAAGGAAAAGGCTGTGCACAGCTTGCATGCAAAATGCAGAGGGGTTCCTGGAGGAGGAGGAGGACAGAGATTCCCCACCCCATCATCATCCTCAGCCATCAGTCCTTCTTCTGTCCATGACCTCACTCCCAGCCTTTCTGTGTGGCAAACATGAGCTGCAGCTTGTCTGAAGGAGGAACCAACCTCAGCTCTGCCTGCTCCTGGGAGCTCTGGCACACAGATGCCTTGCAGCACTGTGAGGAGATGAATTCACAGCTAAAGCAAGATGCAGAGAGTGCTGCTGGGTTGTCAAGGACCCTTGCAGTACTTGCCTACAATCACACACCTGGGGACAGTAAAGCAAACAGCCTGTGCTATGTGCTGGCACATTTCGCCTGCTCTCTCCCTGCTGGACAGTAGTCATTGCAAGGATAAACAGACAAGCTCCTTCTGTATGAGCAGCTCTAGCAAAATTGCCCTTTTCCTTCCTCTTCCTCCCCTACAATAGTGACACGGCCTTCAGGGGCCGTGAGATCTGCAGGATGTTTACATTCAGCACTGCACCACGTATCACCAGACAAAACTGCAGCTGGAGGAGAGTCAATAAAGCTGTCACTGCTCTTCTTGTTTAAGAGGAGCTTGGGGGATAATAGACCAGGATTTTGGAACACGATATTTTATCCTTCACATCTCATTACTCAACAGCAACCAGAACTGCTGGATGCACATAGTGATAGGATGAGGAGGGGTAGTTTTAGACTAAAAGAGAGATTTAGGTGAGATGCCAGAACGGAATTCTTTACTCAGAAGGCAGTGAGGCCCTGGCACAGCTGCCCAGAGAGCTGTGGGTGCCCCATCCCTGGAGGGGCTCAAGGCCAGGTTGGATGGATCGCTGGGCCTGAGCTGGTGGGGGGCAGCCCTGCCTAGGGCAGGGGGCTGAAGCTGAGTGGGCTTTAAAGGTCCCTTCCAACCCGAGCCGTTCTGTACGATTCCACCGCCGGGCAGCGTGCGGTTCCCTGCGCCGAGCCCCGAGCTCCCCCCAGCGGCCGAACGCGGCGGCACCGGGCCGGGCTGCACGAGGAGGTGGGGGTAGAGAGGTGGCGGGACGTTGGGCGGTCATGGTACGCACCGTTGCCGTGAGGCACCGCGACTCTCGCACCGTGGTGACCGCGCTCAGCAGGGCTGCGAGGATAAGGGTCATGCTGAGGAAGACGCCGACGTAGAAAGCTGGAAGGAAGACAGAAAGAAGTGAGTTTGGGGGAGATGGTATCAGAAGAGTTGAGGAACTGGAATGGTTTGCGAGTGATCCATCGTCTCCCACCTGCTCTGCAGTTGGGGGCTGCAGCACAGCCGGGCTCCCCGAGCTGGCCCGTATCTCACTGCCTCATCGCCAGGCAGCATGCTGCCTGCTGCAGATGCCCTACTGCGGCTCTCTGCACAGCTATCTCCTGCAGCACTCACCACTGGCTTCCTCCCAGCAGCACAGGGCATGGCTGGGCCAAGCTATGCAGCCCGGGCTACAAGCTGGGCTAGGAACAATGAGGAGATGCTACATGCGTCTGAATCCAATAGAAAACAATTGGTCACAGGTGATGGTGACGGGTTGCAGTGAGCAGTGAGTTTGATGGTTTTAGCCTCAGAGCATCTTCCCTGCCCAGCCATTGTGTTCTCCAAAGGTGTGCCATACCTGCGTGGTGGATGTCCCGGTAGGAGCTGCTCTCGGGGGCGATGTTGCTGATGATGGAGAAGTGAAGCCCATAGCGGGTGACTGTGCTCAGTGTAGCAATGGACAGCCCCAGCAGCTGGAAGGGAAGGTTGGCATCAAGGGAGTTACAAGGCATCAAGATCCCACTGAGTGGCACAGCCTCAGTGTCCAACTGCATGCGTGTGCCCCCAGATGCAATTGAAAGGACAAATTCTGGACACACACTAAACTGATCGTTTCTGAGACTAAGTACTTCTGAACTGAAGCAATATCTGCTTACAAATAATCAAATTTATGGCACCTTCAGATCCTTCATGCTGTGCTTTACTGCCTATCTCAACCCACACCCAGCAAAATGGGATGTGAAACCCCAGTTAGCTCAGATTGTTGAGGTACAGCAGTCCCAATGAGCCCCCAAGGCAGCAACACTGCACTCCTGGCTGTGTTGCAGCTGCTCCTCTCAGCAGGTTGGGTAGCAGTCCTCCTGTGCCTCCCCAGGTTACTTGCAAGCATTAGCTTTTAATTATACTCTTCCTAAGCCACCAACTCTTTTTGAACTAAACACAGAAGATTATTATTATTATTTTTTTTAAGATTGGAAGTTTCCATGAGCTGCATGGGCGACAAGTCTGCCCAGCTCAGAAGTGCCCAGGAAAAGCATTCCCAATGTCTTTATTTTCCCATCAGCAGTGTAGTTTCTCCTGAACTCCCCCTGAGACATCAGGAAGCTCCCATTAGATTTGCCTCAGAAGCTGCTAGAAAGGCGCACTAGGACTGCTCTTGCTTTGCAGACAGATCCCAACCCCACTCACCCCAACCTCATGGTTACCACAACCCCATCAGAGTGAACGCCATCAGCCACGCTCCCATCAGAGCTCTGTGTTTCCACACACTCACCCATCCCACTACTGGTGCCCACCCTCCTAGAAGCAAACACAATGACACCAGGACTCTTGTTTAGACCCCCAAACACAGAAGCAAACATCTTTCATTGCTGACAACCACCCGTTCAGCCTTCCTTTCTCCTTCAGGCTGCAAAGTGGCGGTGGCAGAGCAGTAGCCCCAGCAAACCAGAAGTCTATTAGCTCGGGGAACAGTGCTGGTGGCTGGCGATAACCACGCAGCACTATGATAACTCCAGCAGCTCACTCTGCTCGCCGTTCCACGCCCCAAAAAACAGAACGTGGGAAAGCTGCCCTTCTCCGAGCGCTTAAAGCAGCCATATTCCTCCTCACCCTAATTTTTCAGAGACCTCTCCCCTCCCCCCCCAAAGCCACATGCTTACCATGACACAGAGGCTGGCAGCCACCAGCTGGCACTTGGTGCTCCTCATCCCGTGCCTCAGCCCCATGGCCCTGTCCCTGTGGGGCTGCCCGTTGGTCACCCCAGCTCCTGATAAGGCACCAGAGGAGGCACAGCCACAGTGGGGCCTCTCAGGAAGTGCAGTTCCTCCTCCTCCTCCTGCACTGCGTTAACTCCTGCCCCAAGCAACAGGCTTCCCACAGTGTTTTGGAAACTTTTCAAGCAAGAGCCAGTGTCAAAATACCCAGTTTTCTCCCCATACACGCACATACATTGTCCCTCCCTCCTTTCTCCTCACCCTGATCCCCTCCCACCGTGAATCCACAGCTGTGAGAGGGGGCTATGAGAATGGCTGTGAGCCAATGCTTAGCTCTGAGTGGGGGCTATTGAGCTGGTGGGAGGTGAGGTGGGCTTGAGATGCTGCTTCTCCCAGCCCTTGGTGCTTGGAGTGCTCAAAGGGTTAGGTTGGCCATGGAGTTGAGTGGCTGTGGCGGGTTGGAGTGGCCATGGTGTTGGGGTGGCCATGCGAGTTGAGTGGCCAAAGATGTCGGGGTGGCCAGTGGGGTTGTTGAGATGGCCCATGAGATTGAGTGGCCACGGGGTTGAGGTGGCCATGGGAGTTGGGTGGCCATAGGGCTGGAGTGGCACAAAAATGCAGACCTGGGGAGGACAGTGCCAGGTCCAGGGATGCTTTCTGCATGGGTTTGTGCTTCAGAGCCTGCGGGGTGCATCTTTCCTGATGTTAAAATGGTAAAAAAGTCTTTAGAAAAAATTGGCTAAAGGGTGACTTGGTGCCTGATACCTTAACAATCTGCAGCTTCAGAGTCAGGGTGAAGCAGAGCAGTGGGAAATAGTCGCAGCCCTCCCATATGTCAAGGAATGGGAGCACATCAGCAGCTGCAATAAAACAGCAAATAAAGAACGAAGAGATGAGTGGGAAAAAGAAGGAATATGCATCTTGCAGAGCAGAGATACGCAAAAGAAAGCGTGTTGCATAGGAAAAAGCGTGACACCGCTCTCTCCTCACTACCCCCTTACAAAGCCCCTCCGGTGCAGGCTCCGGAGGTGTCCCCAGAGCGGCCGCAGCAGGAAGCCGAAGGAAGCCGAAAGTGGCGGCAGCGCGGGGCAGAGTTCCGCGCTAGGGGGCCCCAGAGTCCCACACAACGCTCCGACGGTCGCCGCGGCGAAGGGGTCCGCAGCGCCCCGTACACAAACGAGAGGAACCGAGGCGGGGGGGGACAAAGCACGGCGGGGACCGCTGGGCTGACGGCGATGCGGAGGGCCCTAGGGGGCTGCGCCCTTCCTCCGACTCAGGTGCATGGGGGTAACCGCCGCCTCCTCGGGCCGCTTTGCCGGTGCGGAGGGAAG